GCGTGTTTTAATTTTTTTTGCTTGCAGCGTTTCTTTATTTGTTTGCTAGTGTTTTTATTTTTTTGTTTGCAGCGTTTCTTTTATGTTGGCCGCATTTTTTTTTTTTGTTTGCAGCGTTTCATTTTTTGTTTGCTGGTGTTTTCTATTTTTGTTTGCATCGTTTCCATTTTTGTTTGCATCGTTTCTATTTTTGTTTTCATCGTTTCTATTTTTGTTTGCAGCGTTTCTTTTTTGTCAGCGTTTCTTTTTTGTTTGCAGCGTTTCTTTTCTGTTTCCATGATTTCTTTTTTGTTTGCAGCGTTTCTTTTTTGTTTGCAGCATTTCTTTTTGTTTGCAGTGTGTCCCTTGTGGACCATCGTAACAACACCCGCGAACGAACGAAATTTCTTATCTTCGATCGTTGCTAAAACCTAAAACACACACTACTCTGCAGCAGCAGTGCACTGAATGACGTCACGCATCTATTGGCGTTTCTATTGGCTAATCATGACGTAATATTATTTGGCGTACCTTTAGCAATCGGAAGTTCCGATACGGTACCGTATCTCTAGCCACGGCGTACTTTTTAATATTAATAAAAATAACAATTAATTATTATTATTCTTAAAAAGAAATAAATTGTATTGTTTTTTTATAAAGAAAAAAATCAATGTTTTATTTTACATTTTGAGTGTCTTCAAATCTATGTTAGTGGCCTAGTTGTTGTGTTGTGCGAAGTTGTGACCTGATATTATGAGCAGAGTAAAATATAGTCATTTCATTTATTTATTCGACCAACAATTAGTGACAATAAATGACAATAACGAAAAAAATGTTAAAATGCTGGACGGGGTAGCTTAACTTAAGCAAAGTACATTGCTATAACTCAAATGAGCCAGATACCACTTAAATAATTAAATAAACAATTAAATATATATGTAAATTATAATAGAAATTACAAATTATGCCAATTTAAAATTTAATTATATTTAAATGAACATATAAGAAAAACAGAAAAACCCCAAATCAAACAAAAAATAGACTTAACAAATTTCACGATTTCCAATACATACAAATATGCACTTTAAAAAGTGTTTATTGAGGCAATGTCTTTGGACACAACGCCCTTAAAATACGTAATTATTAAGATGCAAGAGGATTTAACGTCCGCTTTTATTCGCTAAATATTCGCGGCTACCAGATTGGGCTAGGCCCCCCCCCCCCACTCGAAAATGTAAACAAACCAGCCCAGGCCGTCCGTAGGCTCGTATACAACGTACACACTTAGACATTTGATTAGTATGTTAATCGCTACAAATGATTTAG